CATGTCAGGTGTATCCCCACTGATGTCAGGTGTCCCCACCCACGTCAGGCGTGTCCCCGCTGACGCCCCGTGTCCCCGGTGTCCCGCAGGTGCCTCATCAAGTGGCTGGAGGTGCGGAAGGTGTGTCCCCTGTGCAACATGCCGGTGCTGCAGCTGGCGCAGCTGCACGGGAAGCCGGACCCGGGCCCGCCGCAGGGGCCGCTGCCCGGCTCCCAGAACATCGTATAGTCCCGCCCGGGCCGCGCCCGGCCCGCGCCCGCCCGCGGCGCTCGGACTCCGCCAAAGCACTTCGGCCGCAGCTGCGCAGCCCCGAATCCCGCCGGGATGAAGGCTGGGATCCTCCGCCAGAGCCAAGAGGGGACTCGGCGTCCTCGGCACGACATCCTTCTTCCAGCACCTCCCTTCTCCAGCCCCGCGGTGGCAGCCAGCGAGCTCCGGGAGCAGCGCCGCGGCCCCCGAGCTCCGGCACCGCCCGTGCCCGGGACGCGGGGCGGGCTCGGGGCGTCGCGGCCGGTTCCTGCTTCCCTCCTCTCCTCGCCCTCGGTTCCTTTGCCTTTGCGGGAAATGGGGTCGTGCTGCGGTCGGGTGTCCCCTCGGCACCCGGCGTCACCCCGCTGGCGGTGGCTGTGTGGGGTGTCCCCGGTTTGGATTCCCCCCACCCATCGAGGGTGGCTGCCGCTCCTCCTCGGCTACCTCAGGGGCCCGGAGCCCCTGTAAAAGGGGCACCATCCTGGCCTCAGCAGCAGCGAGAGCCACGGCAGAAATCCCGGCCTTGGGAACAGCCCGTGGATCCCGGGGGTGTCCGGCCAGCGGCTCCCTTTGCCAAAACACCCGAACCCCGCAGCAGCGCCCGGGGGAGCTGGGCCGCCCCCCGGCCTCTCGCCCACAGGTTTTGGGTGTCCCTGCCATCCTCAGCAGTCGCATTCCCAGCCTTGGGGAGGGGGGTGTCAGTATTACCCGGCAGCGGCTTCCCCGGGGGCCTCCTGGTGCCGTCCCCCCCTCCCAAAAAACTCGGGACTGTTTATGGAGCGTGGAGCCTCATAGACGTGTTTGAACACTACAAATTCTGCAGCAGAATATTTTTTAAAACATTCGCTGGTTTTGTTTTTGGTTTTTTTTTTTTCTCTGTTTGTTTGGTTTTTTTGTAAGCTCTATTTTTGTATATTTAATTGCTATTTGAAAATTCTAATAATGCGTCTTTTTTGCTAATCACACTCTTCTTAAGGAAAAACCAGGAAAGGAAAAAAAAAACAAAAAAAAACAACCAAGAGTTTGCATGTGATTTGACTTGAAATGTAAATAAAAGCAGGTTTTGGAAGTGGGGGTGTGTTTGCAGCGGGGCTGTCCCCCTCCCTTGTTCCCTGTCACCCTGGCGATGTCCCCAGCAGGGGAGGCACCACAGGGCTGGAAGAGGGGCGGGTTTAGGGTTGGGCTCACGTTGTCCATGCCCCCTTGCCCCAGCAGCATCCCTTCCCTGGGGGGGACAGCATCCCGTGGGGACAGGCTGGCTGCAGAGCACCCCAAAACCCCCAGCTCAGAGGGATTTTACAGGATCCAGATGTGAGGGAGCTTCCCTGCTTAGGGAAATTCCTCCAACCAACTCAAAATCCCAAATCCCAGCCCAAGCCCGATGCCGACCTCCCGCTCATTTTTTGTTCCACTCCTCCTCCTCCTCCAGGCTTGACCAGGCGGGTGAAGCCCCGTTGGGTCGTGCCCGTGGGGGCGGCTGAGCGGGGTCACCCCCGGGTGGGATCCCCGCGTGTCCCGCTGTCCCTGTCCCGCTGTCCCCGTCCCTGCTGTGGGGCTGCTGCCCTCTGCTGCCGGATCCCACCCGGACATCACCCGAACCATGGAATCCTCCGGACCAGTAGGAACTTCAAATCCCATCCCATTGCACCCCCCCGCCGTGGTCAAGGACAGCTTCCAATTCCCAGGTGGCTCCAAGCCCAGTCCAGCCTGGCTTTGGACAACCCAGGGATCCAGGGGCAGCCACGGCAAATCTGGGAAATCCATTCCAGGGCCTCCCCACCCTCACAGGGAACAATTCCTGCCCACTATCCCATCTCTCCCTGCCCTCTGGCAGTGGGAATGTTCCCTCAATGTTCTGTTCACCTTCTCCTGAAGGATCCACAGGGACTGTGCTGCCCTTACAGCCATTTTTGGGATGATGAGCTCGCCCACTGCTGGGACAAAGTCTGGATCTCCCACCGAGCTGCACAGAACAGTTAATTTTGGTGCTTCCACCCCACAGCTCCTGCTCTGGAATGATGCTCTCCCCTCCTCATTTGATTTTTCATCAAAGCCAAAACTGCTGCAATTTCCCCAGAATAATTAATGCTCTTTAAAAAAAGAATCCCCCCTCCTTTAAAATGTTTTGAAATTCAACTGATTCCCAGAACTTGAAACATGCAGGGAGGGAGCAACAATCAAGGATTGCCCACAGTTGTTTTCAAGAAGGTAAAACCCAAGTGAGATCAACCCCAATTTGCCCAGCACATTCCTGCTCATTCCCACCAACATCCATCCCGCTGTGCTGGACCTCCAAGAACGAGACATAAACCAAAGGGTTTGAAGCATATAAAAAATAACTGTAATATTTTATATAAGAAGAAAAAAAATCAAGCCGTTTACAAAAAAGGAATAGACAATAAGCCAGGAACTTTGGTGCAGGGATCAGCTCGTGCTGGATCTACTCCAAAATCCAGAGGACTTACACACACATGGACAGAGTGAGGAAGTGGAAAACCTGCAGGATGCTGAGCCCAGGGACACCAGTTCGGGGCAGGGACTGGGGTGGATCCGGCTCTGGGATTGCTGCTGGGAATTCCCAGCCCTGCAGAGATTCCCCAGCTCTCCACAGCAGAACCTGGCAAGGCAGCCTTTGTTCCCAAGGCTGCCATGCTGAATAAAAGCCAGGCTGTTCCCTGTGTATCTCAAGGATTCCCACACCCTCCCCAGCCCAGCCTATCGCTGACCTGTTAAATCAAGGAGCCACACAGGTCCCAGGCACACAGACATTCCAAAAAACCAAAGCTGCTGTGCCTTTTCCATGAGTTTTGGCTGTGACGGTGGGTGAAAGGCCAGCCAGGTTAAATTTGTGTTAAATTTCAGGTGGGACAGCATGAGCTGAGTCCCAAAACCCTTCAGTCAGCACTCTGGAAATGGAGATTTTTTAACAGAGAGTTTGGGAACCTTTGTGTGATTTCACAAGGAATGAAGAATAAATGAAACTTGAATTCAGCTGATCCCAAACAGGCTGCACAGAGAAGCTGTGGCTGCCCCTGGATTCCTGCAAGTGTCCAAGGCCAGGCTGGACAGGGCTTGGAGCACCCTGGGCTAGTGGGAGGTGTCCCTGCCCATGGCAGGGGTGCAATGAGAGGGGCTTTGAGGTCCCTTCCAACCCAAACCATTCCCCGAGCTGCATGATCCTGCTCCAGCCCTCAGCTGTCCAGTCCCACCGTGTGGAACACAGAGCAGGACACAAGTGCAACCTGTGTAAGGCTGCAGGAAAAACAAACGTTCTCCTCCCCTGCCAGCACAGGGGCCCTGTGTTCTTTTTTCCCTGATTTTACTGAGATCAAATCCCTGGCTGTGTCCACAATCCCAGCTCACAGGCAGCTAAGCCTTAGAGACAAACAGCAAAGCAATCACCCTCTCAATCTGTAGGTTCCTCCACACAAGGAACCCACCTCGGACTGCTCAGCACTTCCAGCCAGGCTCACAGGGGGATCAGAGAGCTGCAAACTGGTTTCTCTGGGAAGCAACCAGGACTGGAAGGATGTGTTGGGGTCAGGGTGATGATCATTCTGATATCCTGGGATAAACCTGACACCATGACCTGATCTGAAGGATCTGAGGAGCTTTCCCTGTGCTCCATGGAGCTCCTTGCTGGGAAGCCAGAGCACTTCCAAAGCTGTGTCTCCATGAGCTCCCATCCCGAGGGAAGGTGCAGATACCTCATTGCTTTTAGAGAGCGTTTATTGAGCGTGCAGGATCCATTGCAACCCCCCATCCCCAGGATGCAACTTCCACGGGGGCTCCACACTGCAGTATCCTGCTCTCAGGCTGTGTGGCAGCATGCACAGGGAAAAGAGGGAGTAGAGCATGCATGGAAAGGGGAGAATTCCCCCAAAACGACAGGAGTGCAGCCATTAAAAATGTAACATGGAGTATTACAGAGATCCAAGTGCGACTGAAGGAAGTGTCTCTTTGGTGGAGTTTGGTAACAGAGAGAAAACCCCAGACAAACAAACAACAAATATCTCTATTCCACCCTCAAATTTAGATCTCAAGGCTGGAGGCTGACTGACACCATCCCAAAGGGTGCTGAGGAGTGCAGGAGAGCTGGAGGCTGAAATAGGACTCACCCTGAGGCACAACCTGTGCTGTGCCTTCCATGCCTAGGACAGAGACAAGGACACGTGGAACAGGGATCAATAAAGCCTGGCTGACAGCACAGCTGTGTCCCAGTGTGGATCCAGGAGGCCACATGGAGTCAGTCACACACACCAGGGCTGTGCTGATGCTCTTCCCCTTTCCCAGACCGTTTTCCAGCACATGGAGAACCTCTGATTGTGAACACAGAACTGACCTGGGCACTTGGCACTCTCAAGGGATCCCAGTGGAAGGAGCAGAGTGCCCCCGCCCTGTTTTGTCACCGTCATTAAACACAGAGTAAAACTAAAAAAATTGCCCTAAAAAGGGCAATTCCATGTGACTGAAATACCCCACTGACCTTCCCAGACACCCCCATGTCCAGCCAGTGTATTCCAATCACATCCTTTGGGACAGACCTGCGCTGTAATCCCAGATGGATTTCAACTCTTGCAGACACCCATCCCCACGCTGTCCCCACGGGCCACCACAGTGGGACGGTCTCAGTGGGGGCTGTGACACGAACCACGGGCTCAGTGACCCCCAAACCACGGGCTCGGTGGCCCAGGGAGTGCCCTGAATCCAAAGGTCCAACACAGATCCTGCACGGAGTCAGGCTGAGTCCAGGAGTCCCAGGAGAGCGCCGACTGCGCCGAAGTAACCCTGGGGAGCAGATGGGGACATCGGTGAAAACCCAGGGGCACTCACCTGACACAGGAACAAAAGGACCTTCAGGATACCCAGTGCCACCCCTGCCACGGGCAGGGACACCTCCCACCATCCCAGGTGGCTCCAAGCCCTGTCCAGCCTGGCCTTGGACACTCCCAGGGATCCAGGGACAGACACAGCTTCTCTGGGAAATCTATTCCAGAACCTCATCACCCTCAAAGGAAAAAATTCCTTCCCAATATCCCATCAAATCCTGCCCTCTGGCAGTGGGAAGACATTCCCTGTGTCCTGTCACTCCAGGCTCTTGTCCAAGTCCCTCTCCAGCTCTATTGGAGCTGCTTTAGGCAGTGGAAAGTCTCCCTGGAGCCCTCCTTTCTCCAGGCTATTGAAACACACGGTGTAGTTTTAACAACATATAAAGGAGAGGGGAAAGATACAACTACAGGGTTCATGATAAAATAGCAAATAAAAATAAAACAAAATAACGATAAAATAAAAATGAAATTAAATTAAAATAAAAATTAAAAATAAAATGTTTAAAATAAAATTAAAAATAAAATAAAAAATCAAAAATAAAATCAAAAATAAAATCAAAATTTAAAAATAAAATTAAATTAAATTAAAAAAAAAAATAAAATAAAATAAAATAAAGCTGTGGCTGTAGTAGCAAAGCCCTGAGCTCCTGTACTGCGTGCACCCAACAGCTCCACGTGGCTGTTTCCAGAGCGCTCCAAGGATTTGTATTTTGCCATGAGACAAATTTTAAAAAGGAACATTACCTCATGTTCCAAGAAAAGTGCTTTTAGCTGTCCCTTTGACCAGTAGTCCAGGGCGTAGGCCAGGAGCCTCATGGAGATGGTGTTGATCCGAAGGAAGTTGCCCACGAACACCACACGGTTGATGTTCTGCCAAGTGTTAAGGGAAGGAAAAAAACAATGAGTATTAAGGTTAAATTCTATTTTCTGCTTGCAGTGATAAAAACGCCACGTGGGGAAGGGTCTGGAGCAGCTGAGGGAGCTGGGAAGGGGCTCAGCCTGGAGCAAAGGAGGCTCAGGATGGACCTTGTGGCTCTGCACAGCTCCTGACAGGAGGGGACAGCCGGGGGGTCGGGCTCTGCTCCAGGGAACAGGGACAGGAGGAGGGGGAACAGCCTCAGGCTGGGCCAGGGGAGGTTTGGATTGGATATTTAGGAAAATTTCTTCTTGGAAAGGGTTGTCCAGCCCTAGCACAGTTGCCCAGGGTGAATCCCCATCCTGGAGGGATTTAGAAGCCATGTGGATCTGGCACTTTGGGACATGGTCAGTGGTGGCCTTGGCAACACTGGGGGAATGGTTGGACTGGATGGTCTTAGAGGAGTTCACCAACCTAAATGGCTCTGAAATTCTATGAATTAAGTTCCTGCTGAAAGCCTCTGGCAGAATGTGCAGAACACCACACACAATTCCATCAGAAAGAAGGATCAGGCCATTTTAAGCTACCCTCTTCCTCAGACACCTCCAGAAATTCCCAGGCCAAACTACAGCCTTTCTACCTCAGGAATTTGGAGAGAATAGCTGATTTTCCTATAAAATCCTCATCCTACCTGGGAACACTGATCATGAAGTGCCACCTGCCTCCCCTCCACTCAGCTCTGGCATTTGATTCATCATGAAATAGCTGAGTGACTCTACTGTTAAACTGGGGTGGGGGGAACTAATTAGGAGTCCATAACCAACACAATTTTTTAAGAAAGAAAAAGACCAACCCAGTAGTGATTATTTTGGATTTAAACCAGACCTCCAGCCTTACTTTTCCATTTCAAAATAGTTCTGATCCAAGCTCTGAAGCTTTCTTGTTCTCCAATACAAAAATAATTGAGTTCCTCCTCTTTCTGAAGAATCAGATCAAGTCTTACCTGCCCCTGCACTCATATCCTTCTGTGGATTTTCCTTCCCTCCCCACATGGATTAACACTTCCCCTGAATTATTCAGGATCCTCTTTTCATTCAGCTGAGCTCCAGAGCAAGGAATTAGCAGATATATTTATGAGCAAGGCCGTTCAGGACATGTCTTGCCTCATTTTGGCTGCAGAGCCAGAGGAGTCAGGAGGATGCTGGATTCCATCAGCCCATCCCGTGGAAGCAGGCTCAGGATGGAGTGCAGAGCATGTCTCTGCTCTTTCATAGCCCTGTACAATGCTGCTTGACATGAATGCAACAAGGCAGCACTGTAAAGAAGCTGAAAGCACAAAGATGCAGCAACGGCCGTGGCAGTGCTGGGGCTTGGCCAAGAAATCCAGAGCAACTCGTAAAAACAGCACAGGAGAAGATACCCAAACTCTACACCCTCTATCCCTCCTCTCCCACTGCTTCCCAGAGCTGCTCCCAGAGAGAGGCACGTTCCTCAAGCAGGCAGCAGCACACAGGTGATGTTTCAGGCAGGGAGCAAGGGAAGAGATTCCCAAAATACCTCGTTAAGGGCACACATCCGTGCTATGGAGCCGATGTTGTTGGTGATGGTGATTAAAGTGGCCCTGGCCAGGTCCTCCTTGCTGACAGATTCCCTCTTCTCCTTGCTCATCATATTTCCAAAGCTGTAAAGACAGATTTGGGGTTAAAAGTCCCACCAGAATTCCAGGAGAAAATGGGAACAGCTAATTTAACCAAAGTGATTCATCTTGAAGGACTGATTTCTAACTTCAAAAAGCACTGCAGTGCATAACTTAGATCTCTTAGGAATGGTTGCTCTCCAAAGGCACCTACATCCAGTTTTTCATCCTTGCAGCATCTCCAGGGGAAACACAACCCAAATGAGACCCAGGCAGGGCATTACCTGGATGCCACAGCCCAGCCTGGCAGCCCGAAGCGCTCGTAGTCTCCTCCATAGATGTCCCTCACCAGTTTGTCCACCTTGGTGCTGTCCCCGTGGGATGCCATCTCCAGGGCCTCCTCGAACGTGGAGCAGCCCGTCAGAAGGCAGCAGAGACCAAAGAAGGTTCCCCCTCCAAGGCTGCAAGTAAAGCAAAATGAAAATGAAAGCTCAGATTGTTCAACTCTGCATCCCAGTTAGCTGAGGTCACCCCATTCCTGACCTCGTTTTTTAGGGAAAACCATCTTGGAAAGGCAGCATTTCCTTCAAGTCTGTTTCTCTCACGTGCCCTACAGGCTGTAAGGAATCCCTCACAGCCTTCTGCACAGGCCACCCTCTGAAATGAGACCTCGATTTTTTTATGTTACACTGTCCACTTTCTTCCCAGCATCCAGAAATATTAATCTTAAAATAAATGTTAGTCCTGAGGGATAACTGGAGTGTCAGGGCAGAGATATCCAAAAGTTGGGGGGAAAACCCTGTCTTGTTCACTTTACAGGGCACAGATGCTACCAATAATGTCTTGTAAGAGTAAGAAATGTACTGAGAGAATTTAAAATTACTATCATTATCATTACTACTATTACGTCTTGGGGAATCCAGGAAAGCTTAAAGCCACAGAACTCTATGGTTTTGCCAGGATACAAACCCACATCTTTAAGATGGGCAATAATGGGGGAATGACTGCTATTCCATTATCCCTTCCACCAAAATCTAGCAACTTTTAGAAGCCAGAATGGAAATCTTGACTTCTTGGATCAATGCTAAGAGTTGTTAAGAACCCCAAATTACATGATCTCATAAAAGAAATAAATAAAGCCCTTAAATTCCTGCAGCAGAGCAACTGAAAAACCAGCTTTGATGGAGACTGGCTGCTGTAAAGACACTAAACCATAAAATCCAGATCCTCTTTTCCAAGAGGAATCTTTTTTGGCAGGAAGTAACTGCAGTAAGAGCAGGAGCTTGGTCATTCCCCTCACCACCTTTATTGCACCTTGTCCCTGAAAAAGCCATTTACAAAGCAGGAATGTGCTCCAAACTCTAAAATCCAAGTCCCTTTACCCCGCAGCGCTCACCTGGTGCCTGTTACCCGTTTATAGTTGTCTTTGGAATAGACAGCCAAAATGCTGACCCCTGAGCCAATGTTCACCAGGAGGAGAGGATAGGGATTCTCCAGGTTGAAAGGGAGCTTCTGGCACCTCTCAGCATCCGTGGGGTTCTCAAAATAGTAACACTCCGAGTGTCCATTGAAGCCCACGGAGTCGATGTACAGCACTCCTTTAACAAGGCAATCCAGCTCATCGAGCTTACAAAGCTCAAGGTCACCCATCTGGTGGCAAGGAAAAAAGAGGAATATTGAAGATTAGCCAGGGATTTGAAGTATTTATGCTCAGGGCTGGAAAAATGCATTCACTGCCAGCTCAATCCAGCTATGTCCCTGCTCCCTGCAGAGGATGAGGGAGAATGGATCACAGCAGAGCACAGGGACTTCTAAGTACAGCAGCCCTCAGGTGAGGAACAGGGGAAAACATTCTGGATCTACAGATGGACACTGAGAAAATTCCAGCAACTCACACACCTGATTTAGGCCCTGATGCTGAGGCACTGGTGTGAAAAACGAGGAGGGACTTGCAATGTTTGAGCAAAATATCCCACAAAATCCATCCAAAGGAGCATCAAAAAAAAGCTAGGAAGTTATAAAATTGTTTTCCTCTCGTGTAACTGCCTTGACTACACAAAATTGGATATTAGGAAAAACTTAACAGAAATGGTTGTGTTGCCCAGGACAGTGGTAGAATCTCCATCCCCGGAGGGATTTAAAAGCCATGTGGATGTGGCACTTGGGGACATGGGTCAGTAGTGACCTTGGCAGTGCTGGGGCAATGGTTGGATTGGATGATCTTAGAAGGTTTTCACCCTTAATGATTCTCTAAAAGCCTCTTCATTTGCATTTTTCCAAGCCCTGACTGAAACAATATTTATCACACATTTTTCACCTTAAAGAAGGATCCCACTTAGAATGAAGCCACATGATGATGACTAAGCCCAACTATGAACTTCCTGACAGTTACATTTAACAACAAATATGCCTGAACCTCAACCAGCTCATTCACACAGGTGTTAGAAATCAAACCAGGTGAGCAAACGAAGAAAATAAAGCAGGAAAATGAGTAAAAAAACAAACAAAAAAACCTGAGATTAGCATAAGAAGAGATTAAAAACAGAGAGGAAGATGTGTAAGAAAGATCATTATTGAACAATTCTAGAGTTACATTCAGTGCAGGAAGTGCTTTAATTTGGAGACTCCACATGCCAAGTTTAACTGGAGTTAGAGACAGCACCAAAACAAAGATTTAGAGAAATTTAAGAGCGTGCAGAGTAAAGTTTCCAGTTTTAAGCTTTCAAAGAAACATCACTACCAGATCCTAATGGTATAGAAGCCAAAAATGCCTACTGTGCGAAAGTCCTGCTCAAATTTGTACGCTCCACCTCCCGTGGCACATAAGGTAGTATGGAGGCTCGAGAAATGCTTTTCGCTTCCCATTTGGATAAAAGCAGGCATGTCATGAGTAGGAAAGCGTATAAAGTGCAGATTGCCTTTACGTCCACACAGGGTAAGGTCCTTGAGCTCAAGGTGCACATCCCGAATGCCTGTGGAGCCATAGGCTACGTTTGATGTCAGGTATTTGCGGATGCTTTTGAGGTTTTCCACTTCTTCCTCTTCCTCTTCGGCCGTGATGTCCTTGGGTTCAAAATAAACCAGTTTGACCAAGGTGCCTCCGATGTCCAAGCCAAACCAGGGAAAGACTGGAGAGAGAAGACAAGAGAAAATGAGACAGGGTGTGGCACAGCCATAGCATGAGCACCTTTGAACTTGATGGTCTTTAAGGTCCCTTCCCACCTATGTGATTCCACTGAAAACAGTTTTCATTGAATTAATTAATGCAGTTCTCTAGGGACCCGTGTGATCTCTCCATTTTCAGGAATCCTGTCTTTCACAAGAGACTCCTCCAACAGGAGCTCAGCTCCTCAGAGATCCCTTGTGTTTGAATATTTGCTGTACAACACTCGTACACTTGACATCCCTCCCCACAGGTCTGACAGCTTCCACAGCCCTGCCAGATCCTGCTGCAGGTTTAATCCTCAGCTATTCCTTTTCCCATGTTCTGAACCAGAGCCAGAGCCACGGATAACACCAGTGCTTTTACATCAAAGGGATGTACAAACCTTCCCTAATTACAACACAGAGCTGAGGTAGACAAGCAATCTAAGATGCCGCAGGGAGACAAAAACAAATGTCTAATTGGATTATTTTATTAGTCAAATTCCCCCATGGTACAAAATATGCATCAGTGTCAGGCCCAGCAACATTTACAGCTGTGTTAGATAATGAGCTTCCTGGAAAAGATCAAGAGAAACCCCTGATCTGATGGAATCTGCGATTAGAGCTGGGAACTGCAACAGATTAATATCACTATTAATGAGCTAAAGGAGAGGCTAATGAGATGCACAGGATCCAGAGCAAAGGGAAAAATGTAGCCACATCTTAGGGCATATGGGAGCAGCATTCAATCCTTATGGTAGTTTCCAGAAGGAAAAAAAGAGCTCTTAGAAAATAAACCCAAATAATGGAATCATAAACATTGGAAAAGACCTCCACAATCCCAACCATTAACCCAGCACTGCCAAGGCCAGCATTGATCCATCCAAGTGCCACATCCACATGGCTGTTACATCCATCCTGGGATGGAGACTCCAACGCTGCCCTGGGCAGCCTGTTCCAATGCTTGACCACTCTTTTGGGGTGGAAATTTTCCTAAATGTCCAATCTAAACCTCCCCTGGCCCAGCCTGAGGCCATTCCCTCTCCTCCTGTCCCTGTTCCCTGGAGCAGAGCCCGACCCCCCGGCTGTCCCCTCCTGTCAGGAGCTGTGCAGAGCCACAAGGTCCCTCCTGAGCCTCCTTTGCTCCAGGCTGAGCCCCTTCCCAGCTCCCTCAGCTGCTCCTGAGGCTCCAGACTTTTCCCCAGCTCTGTTCCCTTCTCTGGACACATTCCAGCATAGATGTTACCAACATTACTTTGGAAAACAGGATCTTGGGTTTTAGTAAAATTCCTTATCTGCAAACAGATAAGGGTGGAACATGGAGAAGCCCTCATTCCTCTCCCTTTAGTGCAAGAATCCCTCATGCCAGGCTCTTCAAGGAACAAACTTTGCACATGCAAGAGAAGATTGCAGCAGCTTGACACGTCGGAGGACACATTTTCTCCTAGGCAGATTTATCTGGTAGCTGTACAGACCCTTCCAAAGCTTTCCAGCTCCCAGGAGCTGCTGGCACCAGCAGCTCCCCACAGTATTTTTAATCCACCAAGTTATTTTTATGTATTTCCATAGAGGCCACCCCCAACCATCACCAAAGAAATTTTGAAAGAAGATGCAAACTCTATTTTCGGAGACACATCCAAACCCCAATCACACTCTCCATTTTGGAGGCATTTACTTCAAACAAGAAGAGACACAAAAATAACTTTTCATGAATGAGAGGGAAAGGAATCTGAACGGCAGCACAACAGAGGGAGGGAGCGGAAGCAATCCAAGGACTTTACACAGGCAGAGAGTGGTAAGACAAAGGGAAAAGGTTTTAAACTAAAAGGAACATTTACATATTAGGAAGAAATTCATCTCTGTGAGGATGGTGAGGCCCTGGCACAGAGAAGCTGCCCCTGGATCTCTGCAAGTGCCCAAGGCCAGGCTGGATGGGGCTTGGAGTGCCCTGGGATAGTGGGAGGTGTTCCTGTATCCAAGACAGGGGGACTGGAAGCAGATGGTCTTTAAGGTCCCTTCCCACCCAAACAATTCCATGATTCTGTGATTTCTGGAATGCATTTGTTCCTGTCAGAACATGCCATTTGATTTCTGCATTCTGAAGTCCACTGGGTTTTTTTTTTAAAGCATCCCCACCATCAGATTTAGACAACAATCTTCCTCCACACTCTTTCTGCCAGGCTACACAGGGCTAAAAATGGGGAGAGAGCAGAGGCTGGGGACTCAGAGATGGCCTCACTGATGTGCAGCAGGAAAGACAAATATCCGAAACCACTGTGCTCTGAAGCCACAAGCCTGAAAATGCCACAGGGGCTGCTCCATCACAGGCCAACAGGCTCCCACCTCCGAGCACTCAGCTGGTAGCACATGCACAGCTTCAGTAAAATAACATATTTGTTTTGAAGTTGGTAGTGAAGCTCACAAATTCCTACACTCAGCGACACAAACCTTCCAGATTTCAGGGCAAACACCAACTGGGTCCACCAGTTTAGGCAGCTTTCCTGGTCCTAAAAAGCAGAGCAGCTCCTTGGAAATTTCATCCCAAAGCCAGTACCATCAAGACCTTTGATTTTTTATCATACATAAATTTAGTTTTTATTTGGGCAGAACATTTAGGCATGGAGTTAAACCACACCAGTTATCTGTCTTACCAGGAACAGGAAAACAGGAATGATGCCAGCAGAGCTGGGAGTCAGTGCAGGCCAGGCTGGGCTCAAGGGTCACTACCACCACTCAGCACTGGCCCTAAAAAGAAAATCCACTATCACCACTCAGCACTGGCCCTAAAAAGAAAATCCAACCCCTTGAGGTGGGACACAACTTCCGAGCAGAGCTGGCTCACACCTCCCAGTGGCACCAGCTGGAAAGGCTCCACACGGAGCAGCTGGTGCTCCCCATCTGCCAGCAGCTCGGCTCTACCTTCCCTAAGTCACCAGGGATAAACTCAAAGAGACAGACTATTAAGGTAATTATCTTACTCAAATGATTGTTAATTATGGAGGCCTCATTATATACATCCCAACCACAGGTTAAGAATCCAAGGAAGAAGTGTGCGAGCTCAAAATTAAGTACTTCTTTCCCAGGCTGTGAAGGATTCCCTATGCAGTAACACCTGTTGGAGAACTCAATCCATTACAGGGACAAAACTTCCCTATAAACCCATTTTTGTAGGAAAGGGGAATGGCACACAAACAAGAGGAAGAAACTATACCAAAGACAAGAAGAACTGGGGATTTTTCCCTGAGACTTACAGGAACATGCAGGGCAGCAACAGCTCCTCCAGTCTGGGAACTAGAAAAATCCAAAGGAGGGAGGAGGAAGCTCTCCTGGATCAACGCCATCACCATCTGCCACCAAGATTTTCTCCTGAAACACTGATTTTTTTTTTTTTTCCCCAGCAGATGAAAGCCATCCAGAGATGGATTTCTCCCTTTTAAGCCTCTGAAGCAATTTTTCCAAGAGAGCTGCTGCAGATCTCCAGGAGCAGCAGGAGAACTGCTGGCATTCGGGAGCTCTCTGGGCATCCCCGAGGGTGAATTTGCTCAGTCAGAAGGTTCTGCTGGAACAACCAGACAGCAGCAGGAGATGCAAACTCTGCCTCTCATCACCTCCTCCCTGCTCCTACTTGGAGCTCTCTGTGAGGGAAGAGCCTCACCGGTCTCCTTTCCAAGCTCTCACCAGCTGCAGACCAACAGGAAGGATGGCAACGATGGACCTCTGGGCTCTCCTCCTGCCCAGCACCTTCTGGGAAGTGTTTAGTTGTTTGGGTATTTCCAGGAAAGGCAGGAAATCCTCACCTCTCAGCTCCAAACCTCCTGCAATCTGTCTCTTTACAGAAACTCTGTGCTTTTTTGGAGGATGAAGACCATGAAGCTCATTCTCGGTGAGCTGGGCAGAGAAGCTGTGGCTGCCTCATTCCTGCAGTGTCCAAGGCCAGGCTGGAACAACTTGTACTGATGGAAGGTGTCCCTGCCCTTGGCAGGGGGTGGAATAAGATGGTCTTGAAGGTCCCTCCCAACCCAAACCATTGGCCTGACAAAGTTTTGCTTTCCTTGAGCAATTTTAAAAGCAGCTCTCTCCATATATTTTCATATAGACAGCTCTTTGTCTTAAAAACAAACCTTCTTCTCAGGAGCAGATCTATGGATATGCAGCAGCAAACAAAAGACTTGTCTGCCAACAAAGTTAGAGGCTCACAGGTCTGACTAAACAATCCCAGAAAAGTTCCAGGATACTTTTTGTGCCCACAGCAAGGGCTGCCACCCTCCCTTCAAATCCCTTTTGCAGTCAGACTGTAAGATCTTCAGGACAATAAAAAGAAATTGCCTTTATCTGATATGTAAATTACTTCATAAAACTGGACACTGTGCAAATAAAAAAGCCCTCAACAGACTTACTCTGAAAGCTGTAGAACTGCCAAGATGAAAGAGGTGATATAATTAAAGATCTCCATGGTGGATTTTCATCACAAAACAAGCAGCTCGAGTTGTATTTCAGAGTGATCCTTAACTTCTGAGCCAATTATATCAGGAGCTAAACAGATTAGTCTGATGATTTAGTTCAGAGTGTGACAGCACCTCTAGGCTTACTCTGAAATATTCAACATTATATTTTAATAGTGTTACACCATGCTAGAAATTTTACAGCTGAGAAAAAAATGCAACTCATTAGCATTTAATATAAAGTGACACTAAGTCTACATCTCCTCCCATCCCTAAAAACAGGTTCTGATAGGAATTCATATTTCATGCACCATTCCAAAACAGAAAAGGGTATTTAAACATCAAAGCTTAAATTTTGTACTACCAAAGAGATGACAAAACAGCATTTTATTCTTACCTTTTCTTGGATAGTTTGTAAATTGAAAATTTAAAGTCCTCTGTCCATTATGTATTTGCATGATCCTGACAGAAGATACATGAACTTCCAAAAAAGGGATCAGTTGAAGAGAAACAATATTTTCTCGGGGAACAAACAAGCTACAGAAGGGAAAAGCACATTTTGCTCACTAGGAAAATAACCTAAATTCACCAGTGTGTTGAATACCCCAAGATTTCAGGATGAGCAGGGAGAGAGTGGAAGAAGGGGGAAAGGGGGAAAGTTGATGAACTGAAACACTGATCTCTTTCTCTTATAAAAAAGATTCATTAAAAAAACATTCCCCTACTCATTATGACCATCATCAGGTTTCTGCCTGGCACTTCACCCTGCCCACAGCCACAGCTCCCTTAAGAACCATGGAGGGAATATCCTCATTACTCATCTGAAGTCTTCCCAGTCCAATGTTTAAGTATGGATTTCAATAGTGACACTGATAATCCAGTACCAGGAGGGAATTTTCCTGTATTGTTCCTGAAACTGATTAAGTTTTTGTGTATGACATGTCTGCCTGCACTAATAACCCTGTCAGACTCCCCTTCCCAATGAACACTCCAAAGCTGCAACAATCTCTGTTTTCAGGGACATTTCTCAGTCCCTTCTGACAGCAACAGTGTCCTTCACTTCTCCCTCTGCAGCAAAGCCCCTCGAGGGCACCAGGAAACATTCCACAGAATCATTCAGGCTGGAAAAGACCTCCAAGATCAATCCCAAGTGTTAACACAGCACTGGCATCTTCACACCTAATCCAAGTCCCCAAGCACCACTTCCACATGAATTTCGAACAGGAAATTCAAATTTCCAGGGAATTTAAAAGCCCAAGGTGCATGAAGGCACACAGCTGGCATTTTGGGTGCAGAGTTTATTTCAGATCTATCCCAAATCCAATCCTCTTCCCTGCTTTCTGCAGTGACTGTACATTACAGGCTCAGAGGGCTGAGGAGGAAGGAGGATCACGAGGATGCCAAAATCCTTTCATTCCTGGGGAAGTGGGGCTCATCTGCCAGGGCATCTGCCAGCACAGCCAGGCAAGACAAGCCTCAAGGTCACCCAGCTCCTTTGCCACATGCCAGCAGCAGACAAGTGGGAGCTAAAGTAGGACATTTTGGACCCCACATCCATTAAGTGCTTTCCTTTCATTTCAGCTTGAGTCTTCCTTAAAGTGGGATAGAGCATTTTAACTCCAAAACATGACTGATTGTGACATCAGGCATTGTCCCTGCTAAGGGACACACTTGCTCCAGCACACTTCGCTTCCACTTATCACAAGATTAATTTAGGAAAGTCAGACTACATTGTAATCCCAAATCCCACCACGCTGACCTTCCAGACTCGATCCAAACCCTTTTTTGAAATCCCTGTTTTCCTTGAAGTATCCCATGCCACTCTCAGCAACCAACTTGAATCCACATTTTCCAGAGAAGACACAGAAACTGCCGACCAAGGCAGAGGAGAATTATCACCTAATGCAGAGCTCCGAGTCCTCCCTCATTTTCATACCAGAGATCTCATTCATGTCCCTGCAGCCTTTTAACAAGTCTCTAATTAACAGCCTCACAGTCCTCTATTCCTATTTTTCACATTAAGGGCAGAAGGGAAGCTGCCATTTTCACCAGCAACCAAAAAAAAAAAGAGCAGGAACACTTAAAACTTCCCATAAATATGGTACCAGCAGTGTCTCAGCACTGCCAGGCACAGCCGAGGTGCAGCAGAATCCTGATCCCCGTTTTCAGCCCAGATTCCTCACTCACACCTTTTTTAACAGCTGTGCAGGTACCAAAGAATTGCACCGAGGCTAATTCATTTTCAGGGTATGGCAATTTCCTTCCAGGGGGAAGGACTCCAGCAGAAGTCAAGGAATAATCCCTCAGTTATTCCTCAAATATGGCTGAAGTCAGGGACAGCCACGGCACCTGCACAGCAGCTCCTGCTGCTCCCAAAATGAAGGCTGCCATCCATTTTGCTGTTTCCAGTAGGACATTTACAAACATGGTTCTAGGGATTTTTTTTTCCCTTAGAAAGCCTGGTTTGATCTGTATCCAGCTCCTGCCAAACCTGTTGGGTTTTTCCCTCCCAAAATTTAAACTATCCCTTTTGCTCTCTCATTGCTTTGCTTTCAGTTACCAGTCCAGCCTCACAACCTCAACCCTCATCCCTCCATCTGTCCTGCTGTACCCTTTTCCTCATCTTCTGTCACCAGGTGCCTTCCCATCCAAGGTCCCCAATTCAGGAACCTCAGCATCTGCCACAGCCCCATGTCCTGCCCCACCAGGTAATGTCACTTCACCCTAAACCTCCTAGAGCTCTCGGAGTTCAGCCCAACCTGCCGAGCCCATGTCCCTGTCCCACCGTGCAGTCCCCAAACTAGCCATACTGTGCCCACGCCACCACCCCATAGTGCAGTTCCCAAGCGATGACGCTGGACAATTATCACCAACCGTGTCCCTCCGTGCTGTCCCCACACCGGCCATGCTGGACAAGTCACCACCGCCCTGTGTCCTTATCGTGTTCCAGACCGCCACGCTGTGCCCATGCCATCGCCCCACCGTGTCGCCCCCAGCCTGCCCACGCTGTACAACCCCTGCCCACCGTGTCCCCGCCGTGCCCATCTCAGCCCCCCGGCGCTGTCGCAGTGTCCCCATCCCTCCCCGGTGTCGCCCCCGGCCCCACCTCCCCAGACCACGCCCCGAAGCCCCGCCCACCGAAGCCCCGCCCACTCCGCTCATTACCATAAGTCCCGCCCATCCTCCGAGCCCCCCCCGCTTCTCTGTCTCCCCCCGCTTCTCTCGCTGCCGCTCCCGCTCCCCCGCACTCACGCGGGCGATTCTTGCGGACCGAGTCCCGCCGCTGCCGGCTCACCGACCCGCCGCGTTCGCGGGGCTGCGGAGCCGCCGCGCCGTCCGCGCCCGCCGCGCCGCCGCTGCTCCGCCGCCGCAGCTGGGAGGGCCCGGCGTCCGCGCCGCCGCCCCGCCGCCGCGGCTTCTTCTCGTCCTCCGCGCCATCGCCGCAGCTGCGCGGCGGCTCCATCGGCAGCGCGGCCCGGCCCCATGGGCCGCCCGGCCCCGCTCCGGCCCCGCTCAGCCGCCACCGCCGCAGCCACCGCCCCCGGCGCGCCTGCGTCGCACGGCCCCGCGGGGCGGGACACCCCGTGAGGCGGCCGCCAATCCGCGCCCCCCGCGGCGCAGAGCGACAGGAGGATGCGCCAATGGGAGGGCGGTAGTGCTCGGCAGCGGGGAGCCGGGCCCGCCTCCTCCTCTCGGCCGCGTAGAGTGACAAGAGCGGCTGGCCAATCGGAAGCGTGCGCCTGGGTGAGGCGGGTCGATATGCGGCAGCTCTGGCCTATGGGCTTCCTCTGCGGCAAGATTGACAAGGCAAACGCCCAATGACCGAGAGAGTTGTCCGGGTGGGGCGGGAAAAGGCGCGGTGATTGACAGCCGGGTAACTATGGCAACGCGAAGGGGCGAAGGGAAGAACCGCAGTAGGCTCAGCTGGGCAGGGTCGCGCGGTGGGGTTATTTGAATCTGATTTGCATATGCAGATAACGATGTATATTGACGTGGGGCGGGTCTGCCACCCACTATGGCGGGCCTGAATGGACCTTAAAGACCACCTCGTTCCACCCCCTGCCATGAGCAGCGGCACCTTCCACTAGCCCAGGGTGCTCCAGCCCCATCCAGCCTGGCCTTGGGCACTTCCCGGGATCCAGGGGCAGCCACAGCTTCTCCGGGCACCCTGTGCCAGGGTCTCACCACATTCACAAGGAAGAAGTTCCTCCGAAGATCTTAAAATCCTCAGTTCTCCTTTACATCCCGACATAATTCTAGTGTGGATACATCCCTGCTCTTTAAACCATGATCCTGCGTTTATCAACAAGCGCAGTAGGAAAACCCCAGGTGGCGGAACAACCGAGGGGTGTAAGCAACAACCAACAGGATGAAAATTCAAAAGGAAAACACAGATTCCCAGAGTACAGGATGCCATAACAGCTCCCGCTGTGGAGATTCCCGTGTGGAATGTTAATTGTCATCTCTCAAACCAAGCCCGGTGCTCCTCACCTGCCCCGAGGTAATCCCGGCTCACCACAATCCTCAGGCATTAATTCGATACCTGAGGGATCATCAACCAACATTCCACAAAGGTGTGATAATTTCTGTGAAAATTTGCTGAATTCTGGTTGCTGGAGTGAAAATGGGACAAAGGGATCGGTCAGATTCAGTTGGTGTATTTTAATATCCTGTTGGGTGAGTGGAAGAAGCGGATAAACGGGGTTGGCAGTGACAGGAGATAAAGGATGAGCTCTCTGAACACAGAGCAGTGTTGTTTGCATTCGGGTGATAAAAGGACTGGCTGAGCTGCCCGAAGCTCTTGAGTATTTTCAGCTGCTGCTGATTGTGTTGGACACACCTGGGCTGTAACAGCTGGAGCTGGAAGCTTGTGGGGTGTCTCAGCTGCTGGGACAGAGCAGAGCCCTTGGGAGCATGGAGAGGACACAGGAAAGGGCTGTTCCCTCCCAAAAGCTTCCTGTTTGTCCCCACACTGCACACAGGGTGGTTTGAGGATGTTGGTGCCTCTGTTCTGCAAGTCAGAGCTGTTCAGGACACAAAAAGAGGAAATCTGGGGAGCAGCAACCTCCAGAGCTGAACCCAGAGTGGCTAAGGCAGCCCAGCATGGAAAAGGCAGGATCCCAGGACAGAATTCCACCAGAAAAGCTGGATAATTAATAAAGCACCATCGTGGCCTGGGTGGGTACCAAGCTCAGCACTCATCTGTGCACTGTGTCCACCTGGCTACATCCAGTCCCTTCTCTTCCAGCCACAGCTCCTTGTGGCTCTGTTTCACCCTTCAAGTTTGCAACACTTTGGAGATGCTTGGTGCATTTCTCTTCCCAGAAGTAGTCAGGTGTAGGCACACAGTTTGTGGTGATTAGGAGTGGGGCTGTGGCCGAGCCTCATCCACAGTGGGTACAGCTGTGAGAAGGAGGTGAACATTGAAGACAATGAGCCACGGAGTGCTGAGCTGTACTGACCAACCACCAAAGGGAACAGAGGGCACACAGGTGCAACGCAGGAACATGAGGGGTATAAAAGGTTGGGCTAAAGAACAAGAAGGGCAGATGCTTGCAGCCTTCTGAAGTGCCATGATGTGTGCCATTCTGTATGGCTAAATGCTTAAAGCCTTCTGAAATTGTATGGTGACAAGCTGTGTCATGCCATCTCAACTGTGACATATACTGCAACAGTCCAGTTCCTCTTTGGTGACAACATCCTGACTTGTGCAGCTCAGCTGTCTGCTGCTTCAGGAACCACCTTCCCTATTTTCATCCTGGGTATCCTACCAGCAACAGGAAGACCTGCCATGGTGGGCATCCTCTAGACCGTGATTGCTCCAAAATGAGATCTGGAAGGTGTCCCTGAACCATCACCTCTTCCTGGCACCGATGGCTTGTCAGTGTCACTTCCAACAGAGCCCTTCAGAGCACTGCCTCCAGCCACAGCATCATCAACCCCACACTCTTTGTCCCACAAATCACAACAAGTCAAGAGTGAAGCATCAAACCAATTTATTATAGTTAGTAAAAGGCTTTTTAGCCTGTTAGTAAAAAATGTGCTGGGACACAGCTCCCTCCTGTACCATCTCCTGCCAATGAGGCTTTAAAGTGCTACATAACAACTGTGAAAATCCTGGCACTTCACAGCAGCAATCTTGAACGTGTGCTTTCCCCACTCCAAGGTGGTGACAAACCAGCTGTTTCACAAGAGCAATCTGACATGAAAAAGCAAAGCATACAAGCTGTTGCTTAAATATATGGAAAAACATGGGAAGAATTTCACAGGCAAGTAAAGCATCAGAGAAGATGGCCTTGGTATGGATGCAGCTGGTTTGGGATCTCGTGGATCTGCCCTGAATTACAGAAAGTGTGGAGAAGACAAGTCCCTTCCTGTCCCTCCCATTAGGGAGTGGCAACTGTTTTGTTTTTAATGGGAAGAACAGCCCCCACATTCCCTCTCCTGACAGAGGGGGCTGATTGTGTTTAAAGGACTGTCCCTTTCTCCTTCAGCAGCAGGCACTGAGCATGGAATGAACACCTCAAGCTCTTCTGGAAAGAAGCCCTGACAGACCACAGTCAACACCTCCCTCTTGCATCTATTGGCTGTCCTTAGTTTTATGGAGGCACTTCTTGGATTTTTGGGCAGAAAGAAACCATTGGGAGGGTGGAGCAGCCATCAAGGGCTAAGAGACCTTTCCCACCACAGGCCAAGCTCCAGGTGAGATGGCTGCACTCTGCAGCCAGGCCCCAGAGGGCTGAGTTCCCTGCCAGCAGGAAGAGTGGATTTTGGGAAGTTGTGCTGATGGCAGGAATTTAGGATGAATAAGTTACTGGACACAAGGGGATGAGGGAAATTATTTTGCTCCTCTGCTGTGCTCGGGTGAAACTCCCCCTGCAGTGCTGTGTCCAGCCTAAGGATGTGGAGCCTCTGGAGTGAGTCCAGAGGAGGCCACAGAACTGAGCCCCTCTGCCCTGGAGCCAGGCTGGGAGAGTTGGGAGCGTTCCACTGGAGAACACTCGGGCAAGACCTTCCAGCAGCTTCCAGTATCTAAACAGGCTACAAGAGAGCTGGAGAGGGACTTTGGACAAGGACCTGGAGTGACAGCACAAAAGGAAATGGCTTCCCAGGGTCAGAGGGCAGGGATAGATGGGATACAAGGAAGAAATTCTTCCCTGTGAGGGTGGTGAAACACTGACACAGGTTGTCCAGAGCAGCTGTGGCTGCCCCATCCCTGGAAGAGTCCAAGACCAAGCTGAAAGGGGCTTGGAGCAATGTAACTACTCCAGGCTGCTGCTTCTTCACTGCTTCACTGTATTTAAGTATCACAGAATGGCTGGGGTTGGAAGGGCCATTAATGAGCATGTCATCCCAGCCCTCTGCCATGGGCATGGACA